CTAACATTGTACTCCAATCAGCAGTATGCTGGTTTAATATTTAGATTGAAATTATGAATACATTAATATGCTGAAAATGAAATAGTGAGATATGCTATATAAAAAAGTAAAAACATTTATAAATAATAATCACAATATTATTATATAACATTAACATATGTGACAAAATTATCGCACTTTAAATTATTAACTACTCTAAATATGTTTCTATTGCTTCATAAAAAACAAGAAAGTTATATTCGGCTTGGGCCGGATCTCGCGTACCCACCACTATGGTTTTCGCATTCTACTCTCCAAGTTCTTTTGCTTGATCCTCGTCACGTCGCTGAATTATTAAGAATTTCAGCCTTGCAACTTTTGTAATTTCTGAGTAACGAACAAAAATCCACAAAACGAAGTTGCGTTCATCTTATGCTTCGTTAAGCGCTTCTGGTCTGAGCAATTTGACCCATTTTTAATACCAATCTGTGTGCAAAGGCTTCCAATTTCTACAGAATTTGAAGTCGGTATCTTCATTTTGCTTGTGCCAACAACACACATCACATAGACGGTCAGGCCTGGCTAAATCAACACGAGATATAACACTGATCAAGAATATATATAAATGGGTGTACATGCTTCTTACAGTGGTGGGTATAAAAATATAAATAATTACAATGAGTATATAATTTTAAAAAAATATAATATAATGGTATTTTATAATGGAAAAGATATAATATAATGACCAAAAAAATAGAAACCAGAAATAATTATAAACAATTAAACATATTCAAAATGATAATTATGATGATAACTATAAAACAATATTACTTAATTGCGAGGAAGAAACTGTTCAAGTACATTTATTAAAGAACATTTCAAAAATATTAATTTCCCGCTTCGCTACTTACAATGTTTCAATAAATTATTGTAGGGAAACGAACGAACTAGATATGTTAATGAAAAAAAAAATTCGTTACGACGTACACAAAACGTACACAAAATAAATTGTCGTATGTTGTAACGTTTTTATCTTTCCTTCGACTTTCTTCATTTAAGCATTGAGTTGGATTTTATTTGGTGGGGGATTTTAAAATTATTCTCGCTGGAATTATTACAATTATATGTACTTTTATTTTCCTTTTCCGACTTTTTTTTTAGTGAAACTTATACTGGAATATGCTGCTGCGTCCAAAAGATAAGACCCATCTTTTTTAAATCTATTCCCTAGTCCCCCGGAAGGGTTACTTAGTGCACTATACCACGGTAATCGAAGAAAACTTCACATCACTTTGACCTTGGCGCGGTTTTTTAGATCTTTCGCACGATATTCTCTCGACTGCTCGATTGTTTTCAGTTCGTATACGTATATCCAAGTCTCATCGCTCGTAATAATACGTTTCATGAATTTTTAAATTAACTGCAATGAATAGGACCACACATTCACATCTACATTGTTCAAATAGTGCTTTGATGAATTTTAATTCAAGAACGAATCGAAATTTTTTGTTTTGTCCGTGCAATACTTTGAAGTCTAATACGTGGCGATCGCATTTTGCTTTCTAATTTCATTCTCTCTAGATGACTTGAATGTTTTTCATAAACTTTTGACGGATAACGTAGTGGGTTTAACTTTTGCAAGAAACAATCCAAAAGAGCGATGATCGAATTTAAAAGGTACGCTGACCAGGGGTGAGCAAGTTTTCTCATCTACGGGCAAATTTTAATTTTTCTACTATTTATGGCCTAATGAACCAAAACAAACGCATTTCGCATTTGATAACTGCACAAATGAGCTAGCAGTGAAGATAGATTCGATCCATTCGCAGAAATGCTACGTGCGAGCAAATTGAATCTCGAACGTAGCGGGCCGGCGGTAGCCCATGCTTGCACCAAACAGTGCGGAAAACGTAATTAGATGACTCTATTAACGGAAAACATCTCTTCGACGTTTTCTTGTAAAATGTAAGGTATTACAAAAGAATGAATATTCCATACAGTTATTTGGGATTCTTCGCCTAAAATTCTACAAAATTCTGCTGATAATACGCCGGCAGTTTCTTTTTTGGCTGCTTGGCACAACTTCAAGGAGTTTGATGTCGAAATTTTCGGATTTAAAAATGAATTTTCAATATGTATACATTCACTTCTTCAGAATCACAAGTAAGTATTTAGGATAAGCTTCCCTCAATACAATATTACATTTTTATAAATATTAATATTTATTAATAAATTGCTGCAAATTGTAAGAAAATAAAGTGTTTCTGCATTTGATTTAAAAATTATATAAAAAAGAAATTTACTAAATCCTTGGGAATCATTACGTCCATTTCTATAAAAAGAGGCATGCTCACGGCCATTGTATCGGAGGCCTTATAATCGCTTGTACATAAACAAGATCAAATCTCTTGTACATACAGAAAAACTGAATACGCCTAGATATCCATAAAAATGATAAACTAAACCTTGAGCATTCAATAGTTATTTACTGTAAAACAATAATTACTCGCTAATTATTTCATCTTTTTCGCTTTTCGATAGCCAAAAGATATGAACGAATTGCCATAACATGTTCGAATTTAACATTCTATATGAGGGACAAGACAATAGAACGAACTGAGAAAACAGTGAAATTGTAAATTGTTCCCTGTTTCGCAACTTTTTTGAAGTTTCAATGAGTCGAGGAAGTGTTTGTGGAGCGAAACCCTATGTGAGCAAAATTGAGCGTTTTGTTTGGAAATCCACTTTAGCATCACTGAGCGGTTAAGTTTTTGAATATGAACCCTTGCAAGGAGTTCATTATGCATTTCAATGAAACTTGGAAGACTCCCAACCCGAACAGCGGAAATTCTTTTAACACGTTCCCGTTCATTCTAAGATCAGTAAGTGCCTTCAAAAGCACGACACTCTCTTCTTAGTTTTGTAATACTAAGAATGTAGGTATGACACAGGCATCGACAAGCACAGGCAATGAACGTCTACAGACGTCGTTTGCGTCAATGGTTTAAAGAGTTGATCGAGTATTTCTAAAAAAGTCTGAAGGTTTTCCAATTAACACATCTAACGTTGATGATTAGCCAACTTTTAAGGACAAGGGCATGCAAAGAAAACTCAGATTTTCCAGGTCTCGTCGACAGAATATCATAAGTCCTGGTTTTGGTTTAATTACTTTCATATAGCAGATTAACAATCCGAAATTGTATTAACTTTTGAAGATGATTACCAGATTTGATAAATTTGATTTCAATCTTGGACATTTTACCACATTATCTTTTTGTTGTAGATGTGCAGCAAAAAAAGGTTGAAATATTAGAATTAAAACAAATTCTCGATCTGAGTGACCTATTTTCCTTGCTGCGGCATAAATGAAGTTTTTGAGGGAATTCAAAAGCAATGATTGAGACTTGTCGGGAGCTTAAGCAGTCACTAAAAAATTGACGAAGACTTTCTAATTTCTCGGATGAAATTAAGCTTAAAAGCTTCAATAATTCTAATTTGTTGTACTAGTCACAAACTAAGACAATAGGTTAATAAAATTTTTTTATCAGTGTAGTTTGCTTAACCGTTCTATGACAAATATGTAATCGAGTCATTCTAAATTATGTTCATACAGTTGTTTTATATACGATGAACACGAGTAAGTATAAACTACACGGCGTTCGATGCAACTTGAGCGGCAACGATAACGTTTGTTGCAGAATTGATAGGATTGCTTCTAAAAGGAAGATGGGAAGATTTTTTACCGTTCGTGTACAAGGAGTAAAAATCAACAATTCCGTATTGAAGACAACGAGTTCAATGACTAGAATCGTAGGTTATCATGAAGGAATTTAAAAAAGCCTAAAATAGAAAGTGTTGTGACATCAGTGTTAGTGATGAGAAATGGAAAATTTGGAACCTCTTGCATTTTTAGAAAATTTTTGGAGCGAATGAATTTTCAATGGTTTTGAAACCATTTTGCACGGCATGTGATTTGCTATATAATAGAAGAAGGACCAAGTTTTTGAATAATTTTGTAACGGTTTTGCATTAAGTGGAAATGCGTAGGAAATTTATCGCATGTTTGTGTATGAATAATTTATTATTTTTATACTTATATTTTACAATTAACAATAATAGCTCTGCAGTAGTGCAATATAACAGCAAAATTCCTTCTTTTTTTTAATAAAGTGTATTATGGCAATGCCATGTAGAAAAATAGTAAAAGCGCTAAACCTAAACCGTTTCGCGAAAACGCTAGCAAATTGCCATTACTAGTTTTTAGGAAAAGAAGGAGAAAAGCCATCAAAGCCGACGACAAAAATTTAGAAAAGTAATTTTTATCTAATTAAAATCAGTAATATTTAAACAAAAAGAAAAAAGTGAGAAAGTATTATTGAACAACTTCTATAGTGTACTATATGCAAATTTTATTTGTTAAGAAAAAAAGAAAAATATGCGAAGAGCTGTAATGATTCCTCTAGAAAAACTGGTATTTGCGTGAGAAAAAGTGAAAGTATATTTTCTATGAATTTGTTGCAACATTTAATGCTCAGTCTAACATAAAAGAAATAAGAGTCCGATTATATTTTCATTCGAAAACCGTGAAGTTAAACTTATAAATTTTTTCTGCTTGTTTTTTCGCTGAAATTAAAGCAGACACAAAAGAGTTATCGTTGGCGTCTGGAATTTTTTGCTTGCCTGCCAACGGGGTAGAAAACAGAAAAAACTGTATGCATAGTCTGATGTGTGCTTGTATTTGTGTTAGAAGGAAATGTGAAAACGTTTATAAAAAATGCTATTTTTTAAAGTTTTTTAATTGCTTATTACAGTTCGATAAATGAAGTGTTTTCCCTTGATTAATAATTTTTGTGAAATATTTTGCTACCTATTCATTGAATTAAAGGCAAATAATACATAACTTTACGAAACACACATACGGACACATATATACGTAAAATTGGGTTGGTGTGGTGGTGGAGAAGGCTAATAACCAAATATCCACAACAGCAGTAACATGACAGACAATTATGATGATAATGGAGACTATCCCAACTATACTGAAGACGATGATTATGGTAAACAACGAAAGACTGGTGTGGGCCCTGGTGGTTCAAATTCTCAATTAGTTTCCTCTCATAACGGTGACAACAGTGCTAATCACGGTTTAAACGTCAATATGGCAACAAGTGATAATAACCACTTAAACGAGAAAGCAAATGAGTATATCAGAGATTGCTTGAGTGAAAAGGCGCGTATGGAAAGAAAATTTCCAATAGCTGAAAAATTATTGGACAGTGGTAAGTAGAAAAGTGATCGCTAAGGCTTTGATAGTATCCTCGTTTTTGCTTAAAGAAATTGAAAAAGTTCAAACTACGGGACGTATACCCTCACGGGAACAAAAATATGCTGACATTTATCGAGAAAAACCATTGCGAGTTTCACAAAAGGTTTTGGTTCCCATTAGAGAACATCCCAAAGTAAGATATATGTTGCCATTGGCTTTCCAGTTGTAACCTTTTTTTCAGTTCAATTTTGTAGGCAAACTTTTGGGACCCAAGGGTAATTCACTGCGTCGCTTGCAAGAGGAAACACTCTGCAAAATGACTGTTCTGGGACGCAACTCTATGCGCGATCGTGTTAAGGAGGAGGAATTACGCAATTCTAAAGATCCAAAATATGCACACCTTAATAGCGATCTACATGTAGAAATCTCTACAGTAGCACCCCCTGCTGAGGCCTACGCCCGCATTGCATATGCTATGGCAGAACTACGAAAATATCTTATACCTGACAGTAACGATGTTATAAGACAGGAACAATTACGTGAACTAATGGATAACGCTCATATCTCCGATGAGACGAAATCAACAACACCCTACAAGAAATTACCAACACATCATGCGGGTGTAGGCAACGTTAGCCTAGCTACAGCATCCGGCAGCGGTGGTATGACGGCCACATCAACCGCTGGAGCTCAAGTTAAAAATATGTCATTGTCAACAGCCTCTTACAGAAGTAATGCACAGCAGCAACAACAGGCTAATAATACATTTAATAAAAATAATGTGGCACCCAAACAAAAAGTTATGTCTATTTTGGAAAAAGCTCGTTCAGCCATGGAGGAAACGTACGGGTAAGTGAATGAAAAAATAGATCTAAATTTCTGTATAAATATTTTATTAGAAAAATGTAGAGGACCGGGAAAGTGAATTCGTTTTCAAGGTGGTAGGATTATTAAATGGCAGGACTTACATTTTTAAGGCCATCTGCGATTAACGTCATTTAAAGCGGTTGTTAATATTGTTGGAGTTTTCGGGTTACTTGCTATGAATAAAAATATCAATTTTTGCCTTTAAACACTAGTTTATAGGGAAAGTCCTGCGTCGTAAGTCATAAGAAAAATACAGGCAAACGGGTGATCCAAAGCATTCAAGCTATTAAAACGCTAGGTTAAGAGCTTAGACAAAAACATACAATTTTTGTTGATTACAGGCGTGGTTTTGAGACGGACAGTGTGACATATGATCAGAGCCACACTTATGACTCTTATAATTACGTGTCAGCAGCTGGAGCTGCTGCTGGTCCCCCAACGGTACATAACCACAACATACCACCACATACAACTCAAGCTCCAACTGGTATTGGTACGGGTGCTTTAAATAGTAGAACACCATACGAGAATACTGATTATTCTGAATTGGACTATAATAGAAGAGATTATTACCAACATTCTCCCAGTTACGGAAGTAAGTTGATGTCGAAATTATGTATCCGTACCATGAACTGTTTTTATTCAATCATATTTGATTACAGCAAGTGGCATACAATCGAATCAAAATAATGCATTAAATCCCAATCGCGGTCATGTTAACAGGTGAAATTTATTTGCAACTACATCAACAACACATCAAAATAATGCTAATAATCAAGTTTTAACCAATAATTTTAACAATAATAATGGAACCCAACAGCAGCAAACAATGCTTTCAAATTCCTCGAATATTACCCATTTCAATAATAATTTAACCACAACATCTTGTTCGTCCTCTAATGCAAACAATTTTCAGTTAAATATAAAACAACAACAACCACAACAACAAATGGGAAGTCTTACACAATTAAATGCTATGAGTTTAAAGGGAGTTTTAAATAATAATAACAATAATAATAACACCAACAACAATAATAATAATATTATCAATAACAACAATAATTTTATAAAAAATCCATCAATAAACACACAATATTTAAGTACAGAACAAATAACAATGCCTAGCAATGTCGGTATTGTTCAACAGCATCAACAACAACAACAACAACAACAACATAGCTCACAAACAATGACAATATCAACCCTGCAAAATCAAAATCTCCCACCGTCTCTTATGCAACAACAATCACAACATCAACAACAGCAACAACATTATACCATTAGTAATAATAATAATAATAATAATCACAGCTTAATAAATGGTTCACTAAAATGCGCCCCCATTTTGATCAATAGTTTAACAACAACAACTACTGTAATAGACACCACAACAACATTACCAATCACGACTTCGTCAACTCTTAACGCAGTCAATGGGTTGATAAATAATAATACAACATTACAAGAGGCGCCACTATCTGCAACATGTCTGCAGGGTGCCACCTCCGGTTATCCTGCTGTCACAAGTGCTGCTAATTTACTATTTGTAAGGTATTAAAACCCCTCAAATTTCAGACCATTTCTCCATAATTTAATTTTACAGACGCAGTATGTTCTGTTTTACTCTTATTTATTCATTTATTAATTTGTTTTTTTGGTTAACTTTTTACACGATAACTCTGAAGCACAATAACTTTATAGCACATACCTATACATAATTGTTTAACATTTACAATGTTATACAATTATTTTCCGTTTTGTTTTTTACAGACCTGCAAATCCTTCGTTACATGTTGGTAAAGTACCATTTCTGTCACTCCAGTTTCTTTGAACAATTTATGCTAGATTTTGTTTTTTGTAAACAAAACAGAAAAGCAAAACATTAAAATCTTCGTTTAACTTTTGAAAACTTGTAGGTAACCGAAAGGTGAAAATCAATATTTCTTTTTCGCTTTTAAACAAAAAACAAAAGCCTCTTATGGACTTACTTAGTTTCATGAAAACTATGTTCAAGACCATAAGGTCTTTAAAAACGAAATATTAAAAAAGAAAAAAAACAACAGTAAAGGAAATTAAATAAAAATGAATGAAGAAAACTATATAAAAATGAAGAAACCCAAAAGGATTTTATATACACACGCCACTTACATTATATACAAAAACAGGAACTCATCCCTACACTTAACGTCAGATTTTTCAGACGAATTTATTAATTGAAAAGGACCCTTGCGCGGACACATACACGCCCATACAGATATTTATAAATTACATTATTATTTGAAACAAATAAAAAATTATTTCATATATATACTTACACACATATATATGTTTACACAAATTATATATTTAGGAGTTTAAATGATTACAAAAAATGAAGAAAGCCACTCCTAGTTTATCTATCTTTAAGATGAAAACAATCTATGACAACAAGTTATACATATATTTTAAAAAAAATATATATATATATATATATATATATGTACATATATATATATTAAAAAAAATTGTTTAAACAAACAAACCCTACCATACCAACTGTAAAAAACAACTAAAAGTTGTGTTTAAATAAAAATAATGACTTTAATAAGTATATTAAACTAAAAGACAAAAACAAGAAAGAAAACTTTAAAAACTTTTGTGCTAATTACAAGAAAGGAGAAGGAAATATATATTTTAATAATGATTAATAACAAAAAATTATATTTAAAAAAAAAAAAAGAAATCAATAAGTAAACTAAAATTAAATAATTGCATAAATTAAGCGATACACGGGCACATTTAACGGAAATCTGAAAAGACAAAAATGCAACAAATAAATAATTAAAATGAAAAATTACTTTATAATAATAAATCATACAAAATCATTAAAATTATATTAACAATATATAACATTTAATATAAAAATAGCAAACAAGAAAGAAAAAGAAACAAGTAAATAACAATCAAATTTCACTGCTGGATTTCACGAATTATTTTATTCATTAAAAAGATTAAAGAGAGACGAGACGGTATTCTCCCTATATACAATATGCAATAAGCATATAGTTAAAATTACTTTTAAGTATTTTCAATTGTTCGCCTATAAAAACTTCCAAGGCAAGTTTTTTCATGAGCTTTTTTCGTAAGATTTAGAGAAATTTACATCATTTCCTTACAATTAGAGTACAACCTATCAGCTATTTTATTAATAATATATAAAGTGAGGGATGGGTAGAGTTTTCGATGGCCAACAAGTCGAAAATCGAACGCAAGATATTCCGTCTTCTATTATTATCTATTGTTGAAGGTCATTAAAGCTTATTTTTTAGCAACCTTTTTCTAAGAACTGGTTCTTGTAGTGATCTCTATTTCGATTTTGCAATACCTTTTACCTGGATTATAGGCAATTAGAACAAATTATGAGTAAGCACAAATAAATAAATATTTTCTTAACCGAAAATTTTCGTTAGACTCTTTGCACAATCCTGCAAGTATTTGTAGCAAGTTTTAAATGCATAGCTGCGGCAAATTGATAATTGCACTATATAGGCTATTGTAGAGTGTTTGTACGTTCGTCATACCAGTGTTCAGTTTGTGCCTTGGGAATTTTGAAAAGATTTCACTTTTCATAGTGATTTTTACGACCTTCAAAAGAAGTGGTTATATGATTTTTGCGGTAATAATATATCTTTGACTTCAAAATCGATTTGAAAAGGTTAGTAGCCACCTTGCTTGAATATGTATAAAAAATCGTCAATTATTGAACATCCACCCTTCAACCTGTAGCGTTTGTTGCATAACTTATTCAAGTCCTCTTAATTAATAATGCGTTCTGGATTTTTTTAAAAACTTTCTCTATGGCGAATAAATCTTTTTTACCATTTTTTAAATTTTAGTAATTTCTTTAGCGGTGGACGGATATAATAATATTCTTAACAAACTAAATATATAAATATAATTAATTTTTTTAAAAATTATATATTTAAACCTAATCAAACAAGCAAAACAATACTTTATGAAACTAATAATATTCCGCTAATACAAAACGAACGATAAAACCTAATTGGGGAAACACAATGAATGAATAAGATAACATAATTACTTTAAAAAACAAAAACGACAATGAAATTAAAAATAATTATATAAAAGAAAGATAAATATATATAAAAGCATTATATACCTTGTACGGATGATATAATAATAAATTGCAATCTAAAAAGATTAAAATCTATAATATATGATATGATATGATATGATATGATATGTAATTCAAGACCCACACATAAAAAGAATAATATATATTTTATGCATAAAACTTAAAATTTTATATAAAATTCTAATCAATTTATAAAAGAAAAAAAAAAAGAATTTCAATTTTTTTATTACATCCTTATTTAATTCAGTACAACTTATATTCCTTATCATTATTTCAATTATTACTCTACATATATCTATTAAAAAACGTGTGCTCAAAGCAGCTATATGTTATGTTAATATTAAATAATTAAATATTAATTTATTTTTACTTTTCTTCTTTTTTTTATTTTATACGCAGTTTATGTTGCGAGTATTTACAAAATCCTTAATTCTACTTGTGTGTTGTGACGAACATTTTTTTTTTTTAAATTCGAAAGCTAAGAGAAAGGAATTAAAAAAGTTATGAAAGCTAGGTACGGGTAAGTGTATGCATATTTAAAGATCCGATAGCGCGCATAAGAGCATACAAAAGAGGCGAATAATTGTGATTTGTTATCTACTTGAACGTAACTCGAATGGACAAGCACAATATGTTGACCGTTGCCCCAAAAACCACTCACAATGATTCTCGTTAATTAGTTTAATTTGATTAAAAATATAAGAAGTTTGTTCGTCTGAATCAAGTTCAGTCCGATTCTGGTATATACTTTTCGCATCCCTTCGTTACACCTTGTTAAGTCCGAAAAAATTACAATTTGACTGCATATACTTTAATAAAATGCATTAGGGACGCATTGAACGATATAAATGTTAGTTTTTCTTGTTTCTTTTATAAGCTTAACGTTCGTAGATGTATTACGGATTCACTTTTATTCAAACGCTTTGAAAACTTACAGGAAGCGCAAATCAAAAAATACGATATATGTTTTACTTAGCATATATATATATGTACAGCAATGAATGGTTTGTGCAAATTTATTTGAATGAAAAATTTCAAGCACCAGTAGCAAGACATGGATCTTGTTTCCTTCAATTATCGACAAGGAGAATATATGACAAAATTTTCTTATTCATGTAGCCATAAGGAAATTTCTGTCTATGGTTGCGGCCATTATAAAAATGCTTTTGCTATATTCACGAGTTGACATACTTTCCGATTACTTTGTTACAATAAAATTTGCCCCGATGCTTTGTTCGTTTTGTAAAGATGCACATGTAGTTTTATGTTTCATCCTTAATTATATTTACTTATATATTACTTGCACTTAAATACTCGTTTCTCATTAAACAACAACAAATAAAGAAAATATATGCTACATATTTTAGATTTTTAAATATTTTAAAAAGATAATAAATATATATATATATATATATATATATATATATATATATATAAAGATAAATTAATAACAATTTTATTAAATATCAATGTATACTTAAAATTATATAAAGAAAAAGAAGAAATATTAATGAGATCCCTGCTCTAATAAATAAATACATCAATAATAATTACAAAATGAAAAATATCCAAAAGAGAAAAAAAGATCATATAAAAGGAAGAAAATTATTAAATCAAATCCGATATTAAAAATTACGACATAGAAAAATGTCACTGGATTATATAACATGTAACGGTAATATCAACAATAATAACAATAATAAAATGAAATTATATATATATATATATATGTATATCTATATATATATATATATATTATTTATGTATATATAAGTGTATATATATATATACATATATATATATATATATATATATTGGAAAAATATGTTTATGAATTTTTTATGTTTCTAACGAGTATTCGTTCATAGGTTCAATCGTTTGCGTAGTATAGGTGTCGCTGGCGTAACTTTGACATTACTGATCCTACACTAAGCTATTCTTTGGCGCGTTTGAAAGATAACAGTCCTTAGATAAATAAAACAAGTAAAAAGAATATAGTGGAAGAAAGTCTACCATTAAATACCTAATTATTATTTTTGTACTGACCCCTCAAAATTGGGGCTTAAAATGAAACTGATCCAAACCGAAACATCTGCAATAGCTTACGTCCCTGTTTTAAAACATGTCAGTGCATAAATTTACCTCAAAATATCTGTAGGTTGAGCACAAGAAAGTAAGGCGGAGAGTGGGACACACAAGCCTAGGTTGATTCAGAGAATGATCAACATTCAGCAAGTGGAGTTTATAATAAATAAAACGTGGCTCTATAGTAATGTCCCCTTGTAACGTAAGTGATGTAGAATATAATAAACAGCATTTGTTAGCATCGACGTGTTTTAATTCAATCGAAAGCAAGCCTGCGTTTTGAAAATTAGATACAATCCTAAAATAATTCACTTATTTTGCTATCAAGGCGATAACACATTTCGCAACGCGCAAATTTTAAAAACGTGCCGCGATCTACTTCAGCAGCCATTCATAAAGTTAATGTAATTCTTCAAGAAATTGAGAGAAATCGATGCCTTTCATTTTATAATATTGCTGCGGAATTAAACAATGACCAAAGGCTGAATACGAAAAGAATTTCGATATTTTGTACGATGTGAATGAATTTCGACCGAAAAATTTAATGGATTGAATTTTCAAGATTATAGTATGCGAGATTAGACGAAATCGTTCCATTTTTGGACGAGCAAATAAAATGCAAAAAAAGGTGGGTCACGAAGGAAAATAGTGTACAAAAGAAATCATTTTCCAACATACACAGGTCATTGCCAGCGGTGACATTTTCATGACAAGTAGGCCTGGTAGGCATGGTAAAAAGTCCATTCTTTTTGTTATTATTATTATTATTAATTTAGCCAGAGAATAAATTCTAAGACTATTGGCTTTATTGAAAACTCTGCCGCGTTTGAGATTTGGAGTCACGATCATTTAATCGGTAATCGAGACTCTACTCGGCCACTCAAGCGGGCTAAAGAAAAAAATAATTTTTAATAATTTATGATAAAAATTCATCCAAAATAATACTTTGACTTAGAAGTTAACTGCAGCACAATTCGGCCGCATGCATTTATTTTTTAACCCTATTCCATACAAAGCAAAACTTCATATGAAAAGCAAAACTTGATATGGCCAAATGGTGCAATTTTTAAAATCATTCGACGAAAATTGGTAATAGCAATTTGATATAAAAATTGACTGTACCAAATTTGAATCACGCAGGCCAATGCTTGGACTTTCAACTCATACGAGGGCTTCCACAAAAAGTAATCTTTTGTATGGTAAAATGTCTAGTTTTTAATATTTTACGGTGAAAATTAGTTCATAGCAGTAATTTCACATACAAACTAAGTGCAGCGTATTTAGACCGGGGATCTAATGAAAAGTAAGTCTTTATATGGCGACAAACTGTAACTTTTCACACTTCATAATGGCGGTTCAGTAGAAACGTGGCATTAGATCAGATTAGTTTCAAATGCCTATCTGGTGGAATCAACTCTAAATAATGGGATTTTCTTAACATCTGCAACCCATCTGCGTTTCGTAACCAATTTTCGATATAATAGCAACAATTCAATGGTATTTACAAGTTTTAGGAAAGCTTACTTAAACGGGAACTTTAGTGTTTAAAAACAGATCACGATTTAAAATCAATCTGTGTTCTTGAATAAAGGGATAAAGAATAAAGAAAATAGTCCGTTGAAAAAATCTCCATTTGAAGTCGCGTGATTTCGACCATTATTGTTACCCATTGTTGTAATAGGTGGAGTATCAGTGGATCAGTTTGAAACTAAAGCAGAGTTCAGTTTCAATTCAGTGTAACCTTCTAAAGAGAAGTAATGTCTTAATAATAAAAACCGAAATGGACGAATTTTTGTAACCTGCTGGTTACATTTTTAGACTAATGACGAATGAAAATGGCTCGGATCGGACCGCTTTTTCGAACACTTTCCACACAGCTCCTTATTCTGCAAAGTCGTTCGATGTATTAGGTGAGGTGCTGTAGGATGCTTAATGGTGGGCCGTGTTTCATTATAGTGTTTTTGTTTGTGTCTATTTACCCATGACGAATGCAGATACGTGAACTTGACGTTCGCACAGTAGATAAAAGTAAATCAAACATATACAATTGTTTCCACTCAAAAAGTCGAACTTATTTTTAATGTTCCCATTGCCATAGAATCTTGTAATAATTCGAAACACTTTTTGTTCATCCTAAACACTTTTCCAGGTTCTTCAGTATGCCTTATTTTCGCTAGAGCGTAAAACTCGGCATTTTTTTCAACTGTAAAATATTTTAAATTCAGACTTTCTGTGAGTTCCAAACTTTCATTTAGGCCATTATGGCCAGAAGGAGAACCGATTTGGCTGCAACATAATACTTGTTGGCCGTTTTTCCTGAGTTTCAGAAATTATTTGTAGGCTGGAAACAGTCCGCAATTTTTAACGTAAAGCATTAAACATCATACCTTTTCGCAATTAAAAAAGTTGCTTGTCAGGGAATCGATTATATATGGCGAAATCCAAATGTTGACCCAATATTGATGTTGGACGTATTTGGCACAGTGTTTTTTTTATGTTAAACTATTGTTACGGATCAATTTCCATAATGAAATACTAAAAACTAAATTTTTTTGCCATATAAAGGTTTACTTTTCGTAAAAATGGTTACTTTAAAGGAGGTTTAAACAAGTAAGCCTTATATTCGGCCGGGTCGAATCTCGCATATCTACCATCGTTAAAATCTTCAGCATACCGCGATTTTATTTACGATTATAAAAGAACGAATGGGATAAAATGTATCTTCCTCCTTCTAAAGTAAAGGTTCACTACAAGCTTTCATAAAAAAGAATTAGTTTGCAAAGTCGTAACATTCCAACCTCTAAATCCTTTTATCTGATGCCCATGTCGACAATATTATGATAAAAAAAGTTAGTCCACCAATTAGTCGTGACGTCAATGGTAGTTAATATGGAATTAAACACACTTGGCTTCTAACATTTTATTCTCCAAGAAAATATAAAAAATTTCAGGCTTTCATAATTTGTGAATAATGAGCAAAAACCTACAAATTTTTCCATAGGAAAGCGACGTTGCGTTCCGCTAACACTTCATTGCAGGCTACACTCTGACTAATTTAGCCCATTGTCAATATAAAACTGCGTGCTGATCCTTCCAGCGTTTCTACCAAATTTGAAGTCGACATCTTCATCTTTGCAACCAGGAGAGTATCATGAACACACACCTCACAGACGGATAGACATGGCTTAATCGATTCAGAAATTCCCGTTCACCACGTATATATATATATATACATATATTTTCTGGGATCTCTGAAGTTCCCCTTTACGTGTTCCAAACATTACAACAGAGTAAGTGTACCCCTATCCGTTGATGGTAGGTATAAAAATTGGACAATTCAATCCAAATTTTTCACATGAATTTAACATGCCGAAATACTGCTAGGCAGCTGTCTTTGTCACGAAGTTTTGAAACTTGCAAATATATCCGTATAATGATGTTTTCAAAATTGGACACAGGCGAGGTATCAATAGTCCGAGATCATCATTTTCCAATATGTTTAATTCCAAAACATCTATGTATATATATTTCTGTACAATAAAAGACGGGTTTATTGCGTTTATCCTAAATCCGTACAAATTTAACAGAAGTGAAATCGGCAAGCTTATAAATCATTGGAAGACGACTTTAAGCTAGAATAAAAGCTATGTTCCTAATCGGTAAATTGTATGCAAAATTTTAGCTGTTGTAGTATGTCTTTGAATCGGGCGTGAACTTATGCAATCATCGAATTTGTGCTTAAAGATAATAAAATATATACATGTAAAGTTTTCATTATAGCAGTAGAGTGTGGTAGAAGCATGTATTGTGTATAACTTTGCGATCGCTGGATTCCCACGGACTATAGGCGGATTATAGGCTGACCTAAATAAAGCATTTCGCTTATGAATCATTTCATGGAATTTGCAATGCATAAATTTGGCTGTGGAAGGTGTAAAACATTTTCACCTCTCTAATTTCTTTGGTTCTGAGGTGGTTAGCGCAGCTAGCGATATTAAAGCACACAACAGCTGAGACGCATATTGTGAATTATTGGCAGATGCATAAGTGCGGCAAGACCAACGAAGAGTATTTAAACGAAAAGAAAAAGGAAAAGAAAAACAAAGAAAGCAAATCCTGGCGAGGATTTGTTGGCAGTGATTCATGTATTTTTGTTTGTACGGTAGATTTTCATCTTAGTTTTCTTTTAGTTTCACAATAATAATTATGAGCAATTCCTGTGTTGAAACACCAGCTGCACCAGAGTGGTTATCGAAATTAGAGAGCCGTCGTGAGCAGCTAAAACGTTGTAAATTAGGACATGAAGCAGGCGCAGGGGCTGCTTGCAATGATTGCGGTGATAAATGTCCTGGATTGGATTTGCATTTTTGGCGTAAAGTGTGCCGTAATTGCAAATGTCGTAAAGACCAGCACATGTGCACCGACGACGATTTATCCGGATGGGCTCAATTTGAAATTTTAGGTCAAATACGTTCAAAACCAGCCTGTAAGTCGCTTCACTTATTTTTTTTTTAACATTAAACATCGACAGTTATTTACGTTTATCGCTCTGGCGTGGAAAAAAAAAATTGAAAAATTGTTTTTCTGCATGTTTACAGTTATTCGCATAAAAGCATTGGCTAGTCAACCGGTTCAATTGGAATGGATTCCTCCAAACGTAGCACCGGACGTAGCAGCCGATTATATGGAAAAATTGGGTACAGAAAATGTCCCAGTTGCTGGTAGTGAGGCAGCTACAAAACGGAAGCAACAATTAGAATTTCAAGTGCCACCACATGACTTGGATGCCGCTTTGTGTGATAATCTTTCCGAATCCGAAACAAATCAATTGCAACAATATGTACAAAAGATACGCGACAGTTGTGTGGGTCAAGGCAATGTTGTGCGTGTCGGCAATTACGGCGGTAATGCGCTGATTGGCAACATAAAGCAAGCAGCAGACGGCGATCTGCTTCGTCAAGCTAAATATGAAGAAATGCTGTCGGTTCTACAAGAAGTTCCTACTGTCAAAGACCTAATCCTTAGTGACCTGCTAACGAATGACAAATTAGCCACGGCGCTCAAACAACAAGTTCCTTGCAGCTACCCAAAAATTTTTGTCGCCTTTTCAGACCCGATTGCTGATGGATCATTGGGCTTAAAATTAAAATCCAAGTTGGCCCCAGCGACTCTTAATGGTCTGAACGAGTCAGCCATACAAAGTTTAGTATCCAATGGGCCAATTTACGACAAAATATTTGCCAAATTGAAGGTAGCTTTAAAAATTATATAATTTTTCTATAAAATTTAAAGTAAGGACAAATTCTATGCCAAGCGTTTACGAATAACTTGAAATAATTAAATGCGCGTTCGGAAAAAGAATTTCAAATCTTCACCGCGTACGAAGACAACCAGCATTATTATCAAAGTTATTAAAAACAAATAACTGAATATTTTTCGTGGCTATTAAGAAGTAGCCTTTCTTACTTTCTTTCGAACAATTCTACAAGCATTAAGACAAATGTCACATCAAGGTATCGGTTGTTTGTTTCGAAAATTCATATAAAGAAAGCATTGCAATTGAGACTTGGCTTGAAATTTGTGATTCGAATCAGTCAATCTTTACGGCTATACGCATTTTTCTTTGCAGAATAACAATTTCGATATATCGCGTGATCCGCGCTTGGGTCCATTATATGATGTACGTCAAGAATATTTAACAAATCCGTCCATTAAAATGGAGTTGGACAGTATATATTCTGGAAACGCCTATGCTTGTTCGACCCCGTACAGTTCCCCTCTGAAAACTCCGTCCAAGTTCTTGCATGATTTGTCTTTTAATTCTCCATTGCCCATGAAATGCCCTTTACAAACACGTTTCGGACGCGATATGATGCAAGTGACTCCTATGCGAAAAGTTCAATTCGCTAATACCGCAACGATTGTACATGAATGCGGATTACCTACGAACGTGGATTATGAACGTGATCGTTTGTTTGCCAAAATTTTATATTCCCAACCTTTAAAGCGAGCTTTAGAATATGCCAAACGGGATATAAAGGCAGAGCCTTTCTTGGTAGCTCTATCGCATGACAGCTCAGAAGATTTAAATAATGCTAATTTAAGTGAATTAACGAAAAGTAAACTCGATAAACTTGACATTAAATCGAAGGACATGCTCCAGAGCGCTGTACTAAATGCTCCATTTTATGATCGCTTATTCCAAGCTTTGAAAGACAAAAACATTAAGTATACGGATTGCCCAGCGAACCTTTACAGCACCTTACAAAACCTAACGCAGGAGTTGCGTGCTGACAAGCCTTTCTACGAAGAGGTACGCGAATTCGTTACCGCTTTGCCTAATAGTTTGGAGGTCGCTTACGCACCGGTCAATGTTAATTTGCAAAAAGCTATGACCACTTCAAGGAGTAGCGACTCTGGATTTGAGTCGAAACCTTCCACTCCTCAACATGGGATAAATAATCTTCCTCCTGATGATCTTCAAGCATTGGTTGGAAAATTTTCTACTATTCCTGGTATAGAGGATATGAATATGTATCCACAGGTGGAACCATCACAAACTCAACCACCATTCACCAGTAAATTACAAAATTTATCTTTACAAGATAAGCCAACAGTCATGCAACAAGAAGGTACATTGACATAAGTCATTTGGTAATTTCTTTATAAAAAAAAATTTCCTATATTTTACAAAACAGGCGAGACGTTAAGACCGCTTCCTTTAAATTGTAGTGATTGCTCACAAAAAATTAATTTTGGAGATGTTGCGGTTAAAGCTGCCCGCGCTGGAAAAGAAATCGCCTGGCATCCTGAGTGCTTTAAATGTCACGCATGCCGTGAACTTTTAGCTGATCTCGTTTATTTCTTTCACGGCGGTCATGTGTACTGTGGACGAGATTTGGCGGTAAAATTAAAAATACCTCGCTGTAAAGCTTGTGATGAGTTGATCTTTACTAAAGAATATACCGCAGCTGAAGGGGCAACATTCCATATTAAACATTTTTGTTGCTTTCAATGCGATCATCCATTGGCTGGGCAACAATACGTTCCCGATGAAAAGACCAATATGCCCCTATGTCTAAAATGTTATGATGAATATTACGCGGCTGCATGTCAGCGTTGCAAACTGCCTATAGGTCCAGGGGATCAAGGTGTCGCCTGGGGTCAAGTTCACTGGCATGATTCATGCTTTCTATGTGCCGGTCAAAATTGTGGCCGCTCGTTAATTGGGGGTCGTTTTTGCGTTAAACAAAATATGCCGTTTTGTAGCCCCGTTTGTGTGCGTAGTATTATGCAATAAGAAGCAGAAGAAAATAAATATTGTCGTTTAAATTCTTTGGACATGCAAAACATTGCAATTGAATATCGCACTTTTAACGCACAGTTCTTGTAGGCTTTTCCGCAAAAAAGCAAAAAACTTAATCTTCTAAACAAGATTTTAAAGTTTTTTAACTTCTTTCCTTCTCTATTAAGCCAAGTTAAGATTTTTATGGTTTCTAGCGTGTAAGATACCCAATATGCCTTTTATTTTTTTACCAATATTTACAAATTTACGCATTTATAAACAATTATACATTTTTATATATATGGTTAATATATTTTGTGAGAAACATCGATAAAATCACATTTGTTTTTATTGCAAAATGCATCATATTACAAACGCTCATGCATTTAGACAATATTGAGTAAATTCTCAGGTAACTGACTCTTGCTCTTTGGACCAACTGATGTCTACATTCATTTTTTTCTTCAAACAACTTTGATAGAATCGAAGTGTACGTTTCCTTTGAACGGTGATTGAATGGTTCACCCAAAGATCAGGGATACATTCATTTTGCCAATCAAGAGGAAAACTGCAGAGAACCCTTAAAGTATATGCATTGTTGATCAGTATCAAATTCGAAATGGATTGGAACAAGTCGCTGCAGCTATTTGTGTAATGTCTTTTGGTAAACATTTTACATTTGATACAAGCATTGGAAGTACTTACAGGCAGGTTGGTATTAAAAATGGGATAAATTGGTTAAAGCACAGGCCCACATTAAAACGTAAGTTGAAAGCAACTCCCCCTCTCTCTGCAAAAGTTTAGGGGTTTTCGCTTTTACGGGTTAGTCGCTTACCTGAATCATTATTATCCATATAAACGTGTTAAGTTAAAAAAAAAAGGTGGGCTTCACTGTTTTGTCTTACCAATATAATCAATCGGATATCAAATAAAGGGAGTTTGACAGTAAAATACGACAAGCTAAATGTGCTAATTCTAAATTAAATACCGCAGACTTCACGATGGTGGGATAGATTTTTGTTTCAGAATCGCGCGGACACGGTTATCAAATAAAAGGATAGAAAATCCACTGCTTACAAACTACTACAGACACACGACATACACTTATTCTCGAAAAGTAGAAAATATCAGCCCCGCCCACGCAACATTATAGAGTGTGAAAACTTACCTTCTTTTTCAAAAATCTTTTGTAGGGTAAAAGTAATAGGTGTAAAAGATTCGGTCTCGACCGAATCTAATTTTCTTTCTTGTTTAAATGTTAAATTGATTTGAGTTTACAGCGCGATCGTTATTAAAGTATTCATTAAAAGAGGTTTGTATTTTTGATGGCGTCCAATAGACTTATAATTTTTTCATTAAATGCTATATCTACAGGGAAATGGCGAAGTAACTGCTTGTTATCTCGTTAACTACGTACATTTACAAAATTATAGAGTTTTAAAAGAATTGCTTTTGATTTTTTTGTCAAAAACGGACTTACACGATTTCCAAAAAAAAAAAAAAAGGCCAAACATGTATATAAAAAACAAGTAAAAACGCTGTGAATGGGTCACCATCGTTATGTTGCGTCACTTCACTTAACACAATTATTTCTTCTAACGACTTTATATGGGAAATGGAAAAGTGATCTGATCCGAACCGAAATATCTCAATGCTACATTTAGGTTAAACATAAAAAAACAAGATAGACAAACAAGCTTAAATCGATTCAGAAAGTTTTGTTGAATTGGTCGGTAGAATAAGAAAAGTGGCTCTACCTCAAGTCCTTCTTGGCGTTGCATACATTCGCACTAGTCTGAACTTATCTTCGTGCGGCAAATGCTGTGGGATACGATGATAATCGGAAGATGAAATATTTCAACAGTACAGCAAATACAATGGAACTTATCAGGTCTTTGGCTAATTTAGTAGTGTGTTTTTCACCCAAATGCTCTTCAAGATTGAAGCAGAATGTTTTGAAATTCGTCGTCTTTCACCTTGACTACTTAGGGCGACCATGCCTAAGTTCATGACTGACTTTCAAAAGTTAGCTTTCCTCTTTGCTTTTGCGTTTCATATGAGTCATAATGTGTTTAGTCGCCATATCCTACATTCTAGTACGAATAAAACATACTCCGTAAAGTCTCAGTAATTCAAGTTTCAAGAAGGTATTGAAACTGCAAATCTATGTAAACAGAAGGTCCTAAGTTCAATAAAAAGTCGATGAGTTTTGTTATGTTTTGTATTATTATTATTGTTAAATAACTTTATTTGAATTTGTGATTTTTTCATTTTTTTTTTTAAATTAATATATTTTTTCTTTATTAAGTTGTTGCTTCGTTTCTTTTTGTTTCTTTACTAGTAGTAGTGAGTTATGCCTTTACAATTTTCAAACATCCCCGTTATTAAGAAATGTTTTAACATTGATGAGGATTTCAATTAACTAAATGAAACGATATTATTCTAAAGGGCGTTTTTTTTTTTTTTTATTTATTTGTTTAGTAAGTACGCACGTATATTACCCCTTTATTATAATGTTCATACATATTCATTACACAAAATCATTTTCGGAATTATTATGATTTTTAACGATAGTTTGAAAATTTATTGTATGGTTGGCGCTGTGTGTTTGTGTAACATGTTTAATTATTTCAAATATTTTGTTTATGCTCTTGTGGTGGCTGTTGTAATGTATTTAAGTTGCGGTAAAATTTAGTATAAGTATCGATTTGTTCGTTTTTTCTTTTTTACAATGTACCACAAAAGTAATAATAATAATAATAATAAACAATATTAAAACAAAACATTCATTAAGCAATAAAAAAAATTAAATAAGATAAATTTTCAATGTAAGCAGGAAATAATTTTAAAAGTATATATACACACAGTCATATATACATATATATTTATATATATATATATATATGCGAAAAATTAATAATTAATAAAAACATACAACAAAAATTTTAAATTTACTTTTACATGTTTTTTTCTGATTAAAGGAAATAAAAATAAAAACTAAACCTAAAACAAATGAACAAAATTAATTTCCAGAGTTATTTTTGATTTTTTTCAATTTTTTTTTTTTTTACATTCAAAAAGAGCTAATAATATTATACACAGAATCTTTTTTATGTACGTATATATATGTTTTAGGTTTTCTTTAGCTTTTCTTCTTCTTTTTTTTTTTTTTTAATTGCAGTACAAATACAAAGTCTATGTAATCATTTATTAATCAGAAATACAAAGTAAAAAAAAAATTAGTGCGCGAATATGAGTAAAAATCAATGTGGTTACGAAGAAACAATAAATAAGAGATAAGCAATTAAAAAATATTATTAAATTATGAGTGTTATAACAAACAAAAAAGAAATAATAATAGTTTGTTTATACAGAGAGTTTTTCTGTCTACTGTTTTGTTTTCCTTCACTTTTTCAACTTGGGGAACTCTTAGAATTCATTTAAATTACGGTTTTGTTCATTCCTATTATTTTTAATTATTTTTTCAGTTTTTTTTTTTTGTTGCACATCTTAAAGCTATTCGGAAATAATCTTTTTTTTTCAGTAGTTTTGTTCATTATTATTAAATAAATATAGTAGTTAGCTGTTGCTGTTGAGTGATAATAATGATTTTGTTGTTGTCTATGTTGTTTCAGAGAAAGAGAGAGAATTGGAGATAGATGATGAGATAGATGGAGAGAGAGAGAGAGAGATAGAGAGATAGATAGATAGATAGAGAGAGAGAGAGAGAGAGAGAGAGAGAGAGAGAGAGAGAGAAAGAGAGAGCGATTAAGACTCTTAATTATGTTTTTCTTTTTTTTTCCTTTTTTGTAAAGTGGATTGGGGTTATACTCCTTTGTGCAGCATTAGCATCATCAGCATCGTTATTAGCACAAACAAATTAGAAGTTAGCTTCATCTTTTAAAATATTGAAAAAATAATATTAAGAAAAAAATAAAATCAAATAACTAGTACTTTCTGTTCCTTCTTTTTAAATTTTCGTTCTTTTCTGGTCCATTTTTATAATTTCATAAGCCAAAAAAGTCACTCATCACAGTTTAAAAGAAACAAAAAATTTTTTTTATAACATGATTTAAATGCTCTTCTCCTTCTTCTTCTCTCCAGTATGAAGTAGCCATACTCAGTCTTCTATGCGAGATGCCTGCTGAAGTTCGCTTTTTCTCTGTTTAAAACACTGTAATCCTCATGCTCTGCTTGATGTAAAAGACCAGTAATGGTAATGAAAATAATTGCAAAACACAGCAGCCTTTCTTTTTTTTAACGAAATTTTTGCTTTCTTGGTGACATTGTTTTTGTTGTTGCTTTCTATATACATCGACCAATGGTTGTCAACAGTTCGTGTAGGCACCCCGCGTATAATAAAGTTGCGTTATGCGTTCCGGCAGAGTGGTGTATAAATTACTGATCAATTCCAAAGGTAAACGCGACCACGCTTCACGTATACGGAATATTAAATCGTCTTTGCGCGAAAATTTGCGACCGCCATCGAACACTTCACGTATTAGCCAACCCCATACACCTTCCATAATATTCAAATCATGAGCTATGGTGGGCCATTTTTGTAACTTCACTCCTTCAGCATTCAACCATTCCTGTACCGAGGGCATAGCGTTTGTGGTCCAATTGTGATCTTGCAGCATATATTCAGTGTTTCCACCTAATTTATTTACAATAGTGCCACGTTCTCTCAGTATAGTTTCGATACAGGTCTCGGTTTTAAATTTAGCCATGGAAACATCCATGTATATGGCGCCGCCGGCACTAATCACGATATATATGAAGACTGAATTTCCGCGTGGCCGTTGCGATAGCGAACGCTCATAATTACGTAAATCATGAAAATAATAGGAGAAGCCATCCGGTCCATCTAAATTAAACTTTCGTTCATCTTGAAATACTACACGTTTCCAATGATCCTCATTCCAATTAATATGTGCATTGGCAAATGTTAGACGTTCAGTTTGATGGAACTGCGATAATATAGGTTCGGATTTAAGTTTTTTGGTTGCATTACCTGTGCTAGAGCGTATTCCAGTTGCAGAATTGGAAGATGAGGAAGAACTCGTATTGGAATTGCTACTGGCGGGTGTAGTACGAGCGCTGGCCGATGCGCCGGGGGGCGATAAACTGGATCCTGTTGTATTGGATTGCTGGGTCGGTGCATGACTGGAAGCAGTGCCACCACCAGTGCTACTACTGGCTGCCGAAAAATTTGAATTCTGATTTAGAGCATGCACAGGTACCGGCACTGGTCCTGGTACCGGCACATTGTAATTATGGCTGTGTGTTGTGGCTGCTGTGGTACTGTGCGAATGACTATGGCTGTGACTGTGATGGCTATGATGGCCAATGTGACTATGATGGGTATTATGACTGTGATGGGCGGGTACTGCTGTTGAATGAGTGCTCGTCGCATGTTGATAATAGGGATGATGATGGTAATTGGCTGCTTGATGCTGATGTATAGTAGGTTGTTTCAGTTGCAATTGCTTTAACTGCGACTGGGATTGAGCCAACAAGTGATGATGCTGCGGAGGTTGATTGTTGTTGTGAGCCTGATGATGTTGTTGTGCTGGTACTGCATGCTGATTATTATTAGTTACCACAATATTACTATGGGTGTTGGTTAGTACTAAGCCACTCAGTGCACTAACACCACTTGATGTTACGACTCCTTTTGTACCTGGTAGACTAGTTTGTGTGCTGCTGTTGTTGCCGCCGCTGCTATTGTGGATTGTGCTCGTTGTAGTGATCGCAGCATTTATTTGATTTGGCGCATAATTTACGCTACTTAAGGGCCGTTGAACATATACCTGAGATGCTACTGCGGGTGCCGCTGTAGTTGTGGTTGTCTGTGGCGTATTCATATAGTTGCCGGGATGTTTTAGATAGTACTGCAAAGCCATAAAACTGGCATCCTCCGTGATGGAGTCACCGTTGCCTGCGGAAGTAGTCAACTGCGTCACTTTTGGATCATAGATTAATTTGCTAAAATTCTGAATATCGTCCGAATTTAATAGTAGCGTTTTCATTTGAATATTTTCCGCAATAAAATTGCACTTTACATGCACAACTCACTCCTACTCAGGTAGATAGGATCAAGCAATCTCGCAGGAACTGAGTGGGAAGAAACAGAAAGCGTAAAATTTCTCTTTTTTTTACAAGCTTTTGTATCGTTTTTTGGTATAATTTTCTTGATATCCCAGTTTAAAGTTTGAATTTTCTTTCGCTTACTTTGTTTAAATTTTTTTTTTTTTTCAGAATTCGATTTGTATTGATTTTTGCTTACAGTTATTTCTTTTTTGCTATTTATTTTAAGATTTTGTTTTTTATTATAATTTGGATTTGGCACAAACTATGCACAGTTGCGTTGTGTTGTTGCTGGCTATTGGCTGGTTAGCTCTTGTTTGCTGCTGTAGCGTATAGGATAGGTTGTTCGGCCAGTTATCGTTGTACTGCTGCTGCTGTCGCCGACGCTGCCTTTCGGTACTATTGTTGTTAACGATGATGATGATGATGGTGGTGCGTTTTTTCGCCACCATACAGAATTTTTATTTACACTTACAAACACAAACTCTTGTCACGACCATCAAAAAATATCACATATAATAAAGAATTTGATATGAAAATGAAAAAAAAAAAAATGAAAAAAAAAAAAAGAAGTTGATTTCTCTCTATGAAACACTTTTTACAATTGAATGTGATTCATCGCCATATAGATAAATGCTAAAAATCGATAATTCGTTTCAAAAAACACACAATTTTTGTCCCGGAAATTCTCTTCGCATTGGTGAACTTTTATTTTTGTAGAAGTTTCAGTTTAATCAACGTTTTTTAATTGAAATAAAAAAAAAAAAAAAAAAAAAAGAACAACGTAATGTCTGTTTTTCTATCTTTCTTTTCAATATCTTTTTATTAGAGCGCTTACGTGCACCAGCTCAGCTGTCTGTCTGTTTATTTGTGTTTGTATCTCTATATCGTGGGGTATTTTTCTGTTTCTTGTTGTTTTTGCTCAAATATATTCCGTTTTGCTGCCGTTTCGTAAGTATGAAATTCGATTGTTACTGTTTTTTTTCTTTCTACACTTTTGGAATGTGTATGCGTTATTATATATATGTGTGCATGTGTGTGTGTGCGTGTTTGTATATATTGAGTATATATGTTTATATATAAATAGTGCGGTATAGTATTTTGCTGCTTTCAGCTTGCACACACACACACAAAACAACTACGAAACCTTAGTTTATGTTGCTGTTGGAGAAAAAGAAATTGAAAACGGCTATGAAGGTGGAAGGCAGCAGCAGCTTGCACAATTCGTTGTTGTTATATTTGCAATGCATATGCGGCTGCCCTGGCCAACTAACTGACGTGATTGAGTTGCTGGCTAACTGGTTGCTTAATGACTGTGCGGTAAGTAATACGCACTTTTACGCTGTGACTGCATAATCGATGCGTCTCTGTATAATGAAAGTTCGTCAAACACTCTGCTCTCTCTGGGTTTCTCTTTATCTCTTCGTTAAAACTCTCGTTGTCTCTCAGGAACTCAGAGTGTTCGAATATAAATGAAACAAACTGAGCGAGAGAAAAAACAACTTGTCAGCTCAATATGGTTTTTACGTTTGCAATTTAAAACGCAAGGAAGCAGATGTCTTGATCCTCTTTTTTGGTGCGGTTACTTTACTCTTATCCTGCTTGTCTGATAGTGGATTCGTGATCAGATATTGAAAACCAATTATCCCAGTATTTCCTCGAGTACCTGAAATGAGTTCATTATTATACATAAAGAGAAAAGGAAAGGTAAGACTTAAGAAAAAAACACGGTTTTTACATAGCAATCCCTGCCTACGAACGGAAAACTTTCATATAAGAATTGTAATTACATTAAATTAAAAGAGAAAAGTCATACAAAACATATGCATATACTTATATGTAGATAGGCCTATACATGAACATAGGTATATACCTACAACGTTAGGTTAGGGTTGGGTACGCAATGTATGCTTTATAAAATAACTTGCGTGTACTAAGCCAAGCAACAAAAAAAAAAAACTGCGTCGTCTTCGTTTTCGTTTTTTAGCCATTTACGTCGCTGTGAATTTTACATTAAATTCTTGCTTACGAGCACACATCTAAAAGCATGAGAAAATTATTGTATTTTTTCTGTTACAACAGATGGTTGGCCGGGCAGTACGATTGGTTTACATGCTCATAACGAAAGTACATATATAAAAGCATACATATATATGCCAAACGTACTTTTTCTTATAAGATCATGTGTTCATTTTATGCGCTGTAACCAAAAAGGTTTAGAAAGAAAATATTTTATTCGTTGCTTTGGAAAACTGAAATTGATCACATAACTGTGAAGGTATTTTGCTTACTTTAGAAGTGAAAATTAGAGAAGACAATTGCATTCAGTTAAGAACGAGACTGTGGTGCACTCAACACCTCAATGCAATACATTATGAGTCCAAAATGTTCTTATGGCTATGTTTGTGACGATGATGTGTTCACATTGACCTCTGGAAAATATTTGTAGAGCGGTTCAATTTGTGTTTGCCGTCTAAGTTCATCGTTTGCGGTGTATTTTCCACTTGTTGACATGGAGATTTTAATTTCCTGTGATGAGCTTAAAAATTGTAAATTACAATATTTTGACTCATATGTCGCCCATTTTCCAATCTTGCCTGCAACTATCAAATGACGGTGGCTGTGCTAATGTTTATATCCATATTTTTTCAGCCGTGGCCGTTGCAAAAAATCAAGATTAAATATAAAATTAAGAATGTTACGTTCCTTAAAAATTTAATGTATATTTGTATGTTTTGCGAAGGCAGGGATAAATTTAATATACTTTTTAAAGTTTCGATGATGGACATGTCTTAGAGCGAATTTTGGATATTCGTCATATAAGGCACACCTATCCCATAGAGCTAATGATTTAGGAAAATCAATAGCTTTTTTACATTTTTTCACAGGGCGGCGTCCTTAGTTGTATTCATTCAAAGTCAAGGCGTGACAAGTGCAAAGGTATGACCAGATCAATTGCAACCGCTGCAATCCTTCAACTAATCGAACAAACTCGAGAACTCGCAGGGCATATGCACACCGCACGTCAAAAAAAAAGTGAAGAAATTCGTCATAAATTGAATGCTTAATGAGCTTCTTGAACGCGCTTTTCTCAATATACTATGCCTATCTAAGCTATATTATTTTAACTGAATGTATGGAACACAATTGCGTTTTTGAAATCAATTATCATTTTCTTATCGTCTTCCCATAAAATATAAGATAATTCACAACCTTATGCACTGCATAACCGCCAGTGACCGTAAGTACGAAAAACAAGTTCTCCACATCATACATACCCTTATTTCAAAAATGCAAAAAAAAAATTGTTCTTTTTTGAAAATTTAATGAACTCATGCGTCTTTCGCAGCGTCCTCAAAATGGTGTTTAATATAATTGACGACTTTCGGTATTTTTCGATTTTTTTTTTAGATTCTGCCAAGCGGCCGGTTTTTTGGGCTCATGAATATAAGCCTAAATATCAATTTCCAGCCATAATTTTTGAATTATTAACATAAGTACCTTCTTTAAATGGTTTAATTTCCTTTTCTCGAAAAATCTTTGAACTATTAAAATTTTCTGGGAAATTAAATCAAATGTCAAAAATGTCAAGTTTGTATCCTAAACATATGTGCATATCACTTTATTTGCTTTTTCTCTAGAAAATAATTTTACTTTTATTAAGTATATTTATGAAAAATCTTCTGATATCATGAAGAGGAAGCAGCTTTAACATGTTTATAGGGCACTTTATAATCACATTTTTGGAGGTACTGTATATTTTAATAATGAATTTCTACAAACCAGAGTCGAAAGTATAATATAATAGTGTACGTTTTCTATTTCAAATGTTGCAAGATAGTTTTCTGTTTTTTATGAACGCTTTTGAAACTAGAACCGATATCATAGTTTAGCGAATTTGGCGTTGCCAGAGTTGTATAAAAACCCCTGCTCATAATAAAAACAGCCCCGCTTTATTATATATATTTCTACGAATCAATTAATAAATGAAATTTCATCAACATACCTTAATATGAGAAGGAGCTAGTATTTAATAGCTATTTACTTATGGTAATGTCAAGCGTATAGTATATATGTTATTCAAGGTACAAGGCATTTGTATGAGCTGAGGAAAAAATGAAATTCAGGTCGCGGCGATTTCCAAAAAATTGAACATGATCTGTGTTAGAAAATTTTGGTTTTAACTTTCAAAAATATCTAAATCCAATCAAGGGAATTTACACATAAGATGCCAAAACGAGAAATACAAATGAAGTACAGCATACTTAGTGTTGCCTAATTTAGTGTTTCCCAGTGGCTAAAAAATCCAGCTTACGAGTAGTTTACGTCAAAAGGGACTTAAGTTTGTATGAAAAATATCCTGGCTATACTAGCCACAATCTAGAATAGTAAATTTGTTATTATGAACTGCGTAGAGTATAAAAATTTACTTTTTTTAAAAAAGCAGTAGCCAGCATTCGCCTTCATTTGTAAACTGAACATAGTGAAGTTTCTAAATTTGAAAATAATATCCTTTTATAGGTTATTCAACTGCATTTTCCTGCTTATAAGTAGCTAAGCATATTTAACATAAACAGCTTGAATTCGTTTAGACGATGATTGCATGAGCGGCAATTACAGGGGCTTTCTTTTGTTTGCCACAGAGTAAGGATATGAACCTTTTCGTTTCTAACTAATTTCCTTAATGCTTATTCTTTCGAAAAGGCAGATGTCTTTCTTCTTCTTCTTCGTTTTTTTGAGATTTATTGGATATTTTTTCCTTATCAATTATTGGTCGAAAAAATTATTGGCAACTACGATATTCAGAGTGATCGATAGTCATATCCACCACCCAGTAATATGTGTATTTATATTTTGTTTGTTATTTTGTATGCAGGATCTAAAACACAAAAACAGTTGAGCAAACAAACTTATTAGAATGTGTACACAGCCCAAACATAAAGTGCTAAACGACGTCTAAACGTTACAGTTTTCAATAAGAAAAAGTTGGATCGCTTCACATGAATTTCGAATCTAATGTTTAGCTTTGTTCCGATTATGGTCAAAATTATTTCCTTTGGTCCTTAAAGCCAAATGGGGGTTGACTGGTTAATGATGCATAATTTGGGAAGTGCTGATCCCAGCAATAATGTGAGAAACATTAAAAAACTTTGCCTACCATTTCAGAGCAGCAACCGCAGTTTCACATTTGATAATTTCTTTACGGGCTACGAACTGTGGTAAAGTTTAAGCTGAACTTGTATTAACAAATAAATTTTTTATTACCTTTTAAAGATTTTTGTTTATTTTCTGTATTTTCATGACTCTTTAGCTACTCTTACGATTCTCATAAGTGGTGGCTGACAGTCCCATTGTGGTACGCTTCGTTGTAAAGACTAGTATCATGGTTAGGATTAATAAAGACTAATCCTTCTTTGTCTTCTCTCTCCCTTTGAGCCTTTGTTCCATAGTATCCATGATAGCATACAAAGACACCAAGCGTTCGTTTAATAAAAAAATCCCCAAAGTGTCCGATTGGTTCAAATATTTAACGGTTTGAGTCCCAGACGGTATTGAAAAAGCACTGCCGAAGAATCGCGATCGCGTTGCTTAGGACTCAAACGGTTAAAGTAGGCAAACTTGCACAAGTTTTATATTGGACGCTTGAAGGGAATCAGTATATTTAATAAAGGGAATGCTTGGAAAGCCGGAGTCCTGCTATCATATCATATTGCAATCGAGGAGTGCTTGGCAAAGACCGCGCTTCAGAGATAGAAAGAAATATTTTTATTACTAGATGTTTGCAAAAATTTTGGTCAGTGACTTCTACAAATAAAGTAAAAATGATAAAGAAATAGGAAATACCAGTGCACGTAACGATTGAATTGGATTATTTTGAACTATCAAAATTGCATCTTCGACATTCATTTTTGTTGTTGCTTGATTTGAAGATATCTGCTGCCTAAACCAATCAAACATGTTCAGAAGCTTATGGTGATGATGCTCCGTCAATTATCGGTTTTAGTTTCAACGGTTTGAGTAGTAGAGATTTTGGTGTCAACGACAAAGTATGGCCTGGAAGTCAAAGAAGTTCAAGGACGACGAATTGCAAGATTTATTAGCCGTAAATCCATCACAAACTCTCGAACAACTTAACAGTTGACGAATCAAATGTGTCTGTACACCTAGAAGCGATGGAAGAGGTCCAAAAGAAGGGAACAACGCAGATTGACTGAAAATGCCATTTTGGCCACTTATTGCAAGAGTTGTCCAGGATATGCGCTTCAAGCTCGAACGGAAGTTTCTGTTACATCCGGCGTACTTATCAGACATGACGCCTCCGGATTGCCCCTTGCTCAGTTTAGTGCAGCAAGACTTGGATGGCACGCTGGCCCGCAAAGGTAAAGAAGTGCGAAAATGGTTCTAATGGTACTAATTTCTCTCAATAAACTTCACTTTTTCAAGTGAAAAGATGATCAAACCTTTTGCAAAAATCTAATATATCTGGGAAAAAAGTAAGGACTTGTGAAAATCAACGTAACCATAGAAAGATTTGATCCTAGCCCCATCCCCTATTCGTATTAAAATCATACAAACATTACAATCTGGCTAGCTTGCTTCAGTTGTGGTAGGGCAACGGTCGTGCTTTACTTTTAGCGTGTGTAATCTAAGCGATGACAGACATTTCCTCTGTCGGAAAGTAAACAGCAAAGTCAAAATATGTAGTAGCAATCCTTGTTTGTAAGGCGGTTACTTCTGGAGCGTATACGCTATACAAGAGCACAATTAAAATATTCTTCTTTTACAAACTATATAAACATTTCTTAAAACGAGGAAACACCCGAGTAGAATTACACAGCCTAATAATAGATGGATCTAACGCCAATAAGTCGCCAATATCAAGAATCAATTTGTAGGACTATATATATATATGTATATATATATATGAAACTAGTAAGAAAATTTAAGTCGAGTATGACCGAAGCTTTTACATCTGCTACGTTTATGTTGAAGAAAAGGTTAAAAAACTAAACAAAAACGAGACCTAAGCACTGAGGTTATACAACATGGGCTGGGCGTGGCTTATGTTTCCCACTTTTGCACAGGTATCTCTATATATCCGTATATATTAGTTTGGGGAAAAAGAAATCCATTATTTTTTCGGTAGATGGCTGCACTGATAGATTTCTCGTAAAGTATCGATCAAACAATTTCAGATTTATGCTCGTTGGAAAGGTGACATTTCGCAGTAAAAAAAATTCTTTTGCTGTTTTTTGTTTGGTGCATTCAGTTGTGAGTTACAGCGTGTTAAAAATGGAAGTGAACAAAGAGAAAATTCGGTACATTTTACAGTTTTTCTTTGACAAAGGCGAAAATGCAAGCCAGGCGGCTAAAATTGTGAATGGTGTTTATGGTTCCGATACTGTAACAGCCAATTATGTGCAATTTTGGTTTCGTAAATTCCGTTCAGGAATTTTTGATGTTAAAGATACACCTCGCACAGGTAGGCCGGTCGTCGAAAATGTCGATAAAATCGGAGAAATGATCGAAGTTGACCGGCATGTTAGCAGTCGTAACATCACCCAGGAGCTAAAAATCGATCATAAAACAGTTTTAAACCATTTACACAAAGCTGGATTCAAAAAGAAGCTCGATGCTTGGGTGCCACACCAATTAACAGAAAAAAACATGATGGATCGAATTTCCATCTGCGAAGCCTTGGCCAAAAGGAATGAGATAGTCCCCTTTCTTAAACGGATGGTGACTGGAGATGAGAAATGGATCACATACGATAACCCTGTGCGAAAACGATCGTGGTCAAAGAGCGGTGAAGCACCTCAAACGGTGGTCAAACCAGGACTAACGGCCAGGAAGGTTTTGCTATGCATTCGGTGGGACTGGAAGGGGATTATTTATTATGAGTTGCTTCCATATGGCCAAACGCTAAATTCTGATCTCTAATGTCAACAACTGGACCGTTTGAAGACAGCGATTGACCAGAAACGGCCAGAATTGGCCAACAGGAGAGGTGTCGTGTTCCACCAGGACAACGCTAGGCCACACACATCTACAGTGACTCGCCAGAAACTTCGGGAGCTTGGTTGGGAAGTTTTAATGCATCCGCCACACAGTCCGGACTTGGCACCAAGCGATTATCATCTTTTTCTTGCATTGCAAAATTTCTTTAATGATAAAAAATTGGAATCTAGGGCAACAAATCATACAACAAAACGGTGCATATTTGACCAAAATCGGACAATCCGAAGCATGTTAAATTAAGTCCTGAAGTTCATATAAAAATAATGGATTTCTTTTTCCCCAAGCTAATATCTATCGCAGCTTATGGGTAAGCAACAAAATGGTCAGAAAATGTTGCCCACCGACGGGAATGCCTGCGTTGATTCCGAATTTAGTACTGATCAAAAAATGTGTATACTTTATGGGATATCTGTGCGACTTAACTCTGCGTCTTGCAAATGTTTTGACAAATTTAATTAGAAGCATTGGTCATGCGGTGGTGGACCTATTGAAGGCTGAAAATATTTTTATATAGATGAGAGGATCTTACAAATAATAGAGAACTCTATTAAGATATATCATTCATTTTTGCGTGATTGAAAGTAAAAAAAGCTTTCATTATCAGTTCATTATCTTTAAGTAAGACAACCATAAAACACCCGAAATATAATTTGAGTCACTGAAACGTTTAATTCGGGTATATTGACCTCTTCGAAAACAAATAAAGTGCATTGTATACGGCAAAGAAACTTTTATGTAAATCCTTTAAAAACACACAGGCACATAATTATGAAAGAAATTTTAATTAAAATCAATTTAATTATACAGGTTTGATCATAAACACCACACATAGATAGAATAAACGCAGGCATAACTAAACATATATACGCTATAAATGATTTTAATGCTAATGATTTTGTAGTCAAAAAATAAGGATGCGACTGCCCTAAAGGAAGCTTTACTGGCCATATATATTGCAGATGGATACACATATGTCTTTACACAGGGTTATATATAGTTTAAACGCATACCTATGTACGCATGCATTTAGTGCTCCATCCATTTATTTGTGTAAGTATATACGTATTCTATACATTTGCACACGCATATATATATGTATGAGTGTATGAGTGTATGTTTACAGCTAAATGCATTTTAGTTAGTACATATATATACAATTCTGTAACAACTATATATATATACACGATAACTAAATTGTGTATACATAATTGAACAAGGAAGGACAGCAATGATTGTGCATCGATATAATAACAATAACTAGGAAAAGTAATATATATACTTTAGTATGTATAAATGTTTGCAAGACCATCCACGCAAAGGGCATATAAATGAATTTTAATTTAATGTATTCAATTGTCGTTTTAACGTCATAGCAGATTGCACTTGATTTCAGAATGTAAACATGTCTATATATATATATATATATATATATACATATATTTATACATATGGTAGGTAGGGGACAAACAGATACACTTGCTAATTCCGAAAAAAATAAAAACATTACGGTGTTTGAAAAATTGCACTGTAAATGAACTTATATACATATATATGGGTAGATATACATATTTAAGTATATATGGTTGGCAGGTATGTACATATATACACCTATATTGATGTATATACACAACGCAATGAATTGTGTGTGCAATATATTGAATCGTATGTCACTTTTTCAGTTATTTATGTACTTTGAATCATACATCCAAACATATACGATGTCTACCAATATGTATCTGTTAATGTATCATATACACATAAATGTATATATATAAAATTTACACATACTCTGAACAATTATTCGTTGCAGACATTTTTGCACTTTGCAAATTAAATAAGAAAAAAACAATACATGTATATATAAACACAAAATTGAATAGAAACTAAACCGAATAGCTGCTTTTAATAAGAAATAATTGAACCTTATTATTACAGTTTACTTACAATTTTAAATATTTTATCCCACCGTGCTTGCTATTTATTTTTATATGCGGGATTTTGAACTTATTTTAGGCCATATACCCATATGACGATGATGCTTAGTCGATAATGTAAACGGCCAATATACTTAAAACACTCATTCCTCCTTATATGACGGTCGTAAGTTTTCACGAAAAATTTTCTTCTCTTATTAAAACTTTTCTTAGTTATGACAATTAATACATCCCTTCGCGATGCTAAGTCGTTCTTTTGGCTAAATGACTATCATTTTATTGAAAATTAACCTTTTTTCCTCTTTAAAAACGATTACGCCATTTTGGGTTTTGCAATTTTGTTCGTGAAACGTGTTTTATATACAATTTTATCAATATTAATAGAATTCTTTTCACCTTTGACCCGTTTTTTTTTTTAACTAATAAATTTCCGACTTTTTTCAGTATTTTTTCTTTTTTTTGGAAATTAAAAAAATATATTATAATATTTAGGGATTTTTTAAAGATGACTTAATGATTTTTCTGTAGGAAATATAATGAGTTAGGAAAGAACTCACATAAAAACGACCAGCAAAACAGGGCGAATCAAGAAAACTTCTCATTTTTGTCTGCTTCTTCTGTTTTGGCTGTTTTAAAATGCTCTGAGAGTTAATAACAAAGTTTAATGGGTAACTAACTAATTCTTCAGCTGTATGAGCACAGTTAAAAAATTCAAAGAAAAAAATGCGTGCGGAATAATTTGCTGTTTATTCATCATTCGGTAGCCGAATAGTTAGATCATTTCGTTGATTTTCAAGAAAAATTCAAAAGCGTTTTTAGTAAATTATGAGAATTATCACCCAACATATTCTTTTTATAAAATATATATCGGTTAAGTGGTCACCTTAAACCTTACATTTCCAGTATTAAGTTCGAAATAGGTATTTTTTCCAGTATTAAGTTCGAAATAAGTACTCTTTTCCAGTATTAGGTTGAGTATTGAGTATTGATGTTGAGCCTCAACTATAAAAATCAATTAGCACAATACCTAAATTAAAATCGTTGCGACAAAAGCGTTTAGTTTTATGAGTTTGCAAAACTTTTCGAATATAACAAAGCATATGAAATTGAAAAAAAAAATATTACTATTCGACGAAATCATAACACTAGAAACAATTTTTTTTGTACATATTAGTCGAAGTTCTATCTCTCACAACATAAGTTGGACCTATGGAATGTGAATTTTGTTTATATATTTTTGGGTTATGTTATATTACAAACATTTCCCGTTCACCCATGCAGAAAACTAGTAAATTGAATGTTTACAACCTACAAATTTCACATATTTTGATATTGTAATGTGAAGTGAATATAATAATAATGTCAACCGAAATCTTTTAGGTAAATTACAAAGTAAATTTTGTTTTTTGATTAATGTATTGATACAGTTTGCTGGTTTCAACATGTGATTTTATGTAAATATAATATCTCAACGAATTAATGCAACTATTTTGCTTTTTTTATATTATATATCGTTTTATTTAGAAATATTTCACTTTGTTAAACTTCTTTTTGCATTTGTAAGATGGCTTTGATTTTTCGTTAACAGCCGTTAGCTGATTTATAAAAAAAAAACCATGTGTGGAGAACGGAGATAACGCAGGGTTGCTTTCAATAAAATGCAACGAGTCGATTTTGTTAAAGTGTGAGAAATTGAAGTGAATATTCTGTTAAAAGAAGAATATTCTGTGAAAGTGTGAGAAGTTGAAATGAGTATTCTGCTATTGTGAGAATTTGAAGTAAATATGCTGATAGTGTGAGAAATCACAGTCTGTATTCAGTTAGTGTGAACAATTTCCATTATCTTGCTGTTCTATTGGACGTTAAGTTTCCTTTAAGGTCTTCGCCATACCTTCTTGAACAAAATTTATCAAGTATTCCAAAATGCAATTAAACAAAAACTTTATTTGCTTATAAAAAAATTTATTACTCTCGGCTTGAACGTAACCGAAAAAATTGAGCTAGACGAAATTTGGTCTGCTGGATCGATCTTCACGGGCGGCGTCTTAAATGGAATTTTTTGCTTATCCTCTTGAATGCGGCGCTCAAACTTTCAAAGATCATTTGCTGGTAGCTGTAAGTAACAACACGTTAAGTCAACATACTACCTGATACATACAGTAGTTTATATAGTTGTTCTAATAGCGATTCGTTTTCATTCTACCTTTATTTTCGTTTCTTCGTTTCGTGTCCCACCATTACATTTTCAAACATAATTGATAGTTCTGTGTATTTGCGACATTTAGACTTATATTTTTTATTTTTTTCTTTGCATTATTTTGTTATACATACAACGAGGATATGACATATATTCTGTTGCAATTGCAAGAAACGAGAAGCTTCAGCTGACTCTCAGAAGATTCCAAATTCAGGTGGATTTCAGAATCAAACAATTCGTGTTCAGGCTCGCTCATTTAATTATTTTCAAATGCCTGCAAATTGAGGTGGATTTCAGGCCCGTTCATTCTTTCAGATTATAGAAAAATACATTGAGAAATGATAACCTATGGAATGATAAAAAACACAATTAATCAATCAGTTTTTGAAAATCTTCGCGCGAGTCACCAACTGCACCGACAGGCATAACATCATGGATCTGTGTTTGTTCTAGAATTTGGTTTATTAGAAAATGAAATTCAAATTCTTTAAATGAAACAAAATAATATATTTCAAATATGCGACGCTACACACATATAGAAAACGTGACAAAGTAAAAATTCCAAAATAAGACAATTTTTCTAATTTTAAGTCATTATTAATGATTTTCCAATTACATGGTTCGATTTCTAATTTAATTCTCTTCTCTTTAGGGAGGAATCATAAAGCGAGATAAAACATAATTTATTTTAAAGTTTTGAAGTGGTTGAATTGTTCTTTTAAATCTCACCGACTAGTAGAATTAAAATATATATCAAAAAACAATAAGAGGATGATCTAAGAGAAATTAGTCGGTTGGGTTTTGTATAACAATCAAAATAAAATCTCTGTCAGGTGCCACCATAATCTCATGTTTCTTCGAGCGTACTCGTAAAAATGTCAAATCGTTAGATGGATCTAAATCTCGTACCACACTGCGTGCTTTATCGGCCAATTGACTCATTAGACCAGCATATTGAACTGTGGTGGTATTATCTAGGGTAGATTTAACTGGAATGCCTAGAAAACGAACAAAATAATTCAAAGGAAAAATATATATAAATTACAAAAGATTTGCCTTCATTGTTGACCACGATAGTCCCGACAACGCCTTTATGAGATTGTATGCGCTTTAAAGTTTCCTCGACTTCTTGCGACTGGAATTGTAGAAGCAAATAAATATGAAAAATCCCCAAAAAATGTCAAAATGTATTCACCATAATGAAAAGATAAATACTTCTTTTTAATTGCAATGAAAAAATAAAATTATTTTTTCTCGTTTGAAGGTTGAATGACAAACTTTACAAATTTCTTCTTCATCGATCAAACAACATCGGAATTGTTTACTAAATTACACATAGTTGTCAAATAAAAGTAGTAGATTTTGTCCCGTTAGGAAAAAGCTACATGACTTTTTCAATACACAAAATTGCACTGACTTTAAAAAAGCGTAAGGTCCGTTTATTTTCGAGATTTTATGCCAATAAGCAACAACTTGAGCAAATTCTAATTAATTGAAAACATTTCAAATTTCTGAGTACGTCGTTTTTGACAATGAGAACCGTGATCGTTTTGCGAAAACCAAAAAAAATTCTACGGTTTACGATTCAAGCATGATTTTAAAGTGCTCTTTTCCAAAAAAGTTTTTCGCTTTATTAATGTTGCACTTCATTGCAGTTCATCTAAGCAAACGCTGTCCATGTGATACTGCTTTAAAACGGATGTAAACTGACTATTCGTTCTACGTTTTGCGTGGTTACAATCCACGCCCAATGCATATCGCAAGTAGTGTGTTTTCTAGTTAAGCAAATTGCATTCCACAAAAAAGTGATGCGAATACCATCTTTTGCGCATATGAAATATTGTTACAGTATTACCATTAGAAAGTAATTTTATTTTATAACAAATACAACAATTCTCTCAATTTTATTTGGGCCCCTGCATGAGATATGTACAGCAAAGTTAGCGAAGTCAATTTTACGCTCGGCTTTATTGTAGTCGTTGCATAAGGAACGCAGAACAATTGCGCACAGTCAATTGCGAGTTCAGTTTTGAAAAGTAAAAATATTCTTAGATTGGTTTTTATATTTTTTTTTACGCAAGTTTTAATATTCCCGATTTGTATTGGGATAAGAAATACAAGTTAATAATTTTAAGTTTTAACAACTATTTAACTTTTTCCCCTCCAACTCTTATAAATGATAATCCTATAATCCTTTTTAATTTTTTTTGATATTACCCATCATTGCTTCTTATCTCTTAAATAATTTAAACAAGAAAAATTTATATAAAAAACTAACCGAAAAGAATAAGCTAATTTTCTGATCTGATGAATGCTAATTAATATTGTTGAAAATACAGATATAAAAGATAACAGAATTTTTCAATCTCATATTACATATTCTTTTCTACAAGTAAACTAAATTTTCAATTAAATTTTCTCTAAATAAACCAAAATTGAAATTATTAATAACAAAATAGCTTACTGCAGCTTTTTTTGGTTTGCTTATATAGACGAAATGTAGCAACGTAATAATTCGCACATATTTTTTTGTATCTAGTGAGTAAAGGTGGCCAAATCGCCACTTTATGAAATAAAAATAAGTGAAATAATTTTTTCTTTCGTTTTCTTTACCAATCAATATTGCTAATATTGTCTCTAGATATTCTAAACATTAAAAACGACCACGTTTGGTTTTTTAAAATCGGCAACACTGGCACTTAGTAAATTCGCTCTCTAGTTTGCTGGTATTGTTTTTGAGAACTTGTATTAGTCTCCATATCCTCTCAGATATTCTTTGATTACTTGACACTACCGCGATTTTGGTGGCATTGTTTTTGTAAAGTTTAGTTTTATTCTCATAGATTGCTTTGATTACTTGGCACCATTGGGCTCTGGCTGGCATTGTTTTTGTAAAATTTGTTTTACACGAGACTCAAAAGGAGGAAGAATCACTACATTTTTTAGAATTGCTTACATGAATATAAATTTAAACATTCTAGATTGTTTCAGTTAATTTTTTCTCAGTATTTCGTTAGGGCCTCCGTAAGAAATGTACAGCAAAGTCAATTATAGTCAGAGAAATACAATTTTATACTCAGTCAAAGTTAAACGAAAAACTTTGCTCTGAGAGAAGATTTTTGCGACCGTTTTACGGGTGTCTGAAAGAGAGTGAAAGAAAAAGAGCTACCACTTTTACAATATATAATCCAAACATTTTCAATTTTTTTTTTAGTTGTGTGTGTGATTTTCGTGAATTTCAAGAAATCGGCAAAGGTAGAGATATTGTTTTTTTAATTTAAATTAAAGTTAAAATATGTAGATCTCGTAATCAAAAATTAGAAGCGATGGCGTTGTTCATTTAGTTAAATGCATTTAATGCATTGTATGATATTTTCATTTGATCATAAAACGTGTAAAAAGATGGCAAAAATATATAATATTTCACAAAAAAAGCATATGAAAGCCAAATGAAGCGAAATTATTTATTCTGAAGAAGTTAATTTATTTAATACGGATGTGAATAAAGTGAGAAATAGAATACATTGTTATTGTTGTCGTGCGTAGCTTCCATTGGTAATAAATTGCTGTGGTACGTTGTAGTTCGTTCAAGTTGCTGCTGTGTAAAGAAAACGAAAGCCTTTGCAAGTTGCAGGTAAAAACGATAAAAAATGCAAATTTAAACTTTAACAAGGTGAAATATATTAGAAAATACCTTCCCTTCGAAGTTATTTGGAATATTGTCGTAAAGTAATGCATGTCACTTAAAAAAAAGTTTTTAATCTGAGTTCTAAGAAATGTTCATTCATAAGAAGAGGAAAAAAATAATCGTCGGCAGTTTTAGCAGTCACTCCCTCTGCCTTTTTTACCACTCTCTGCGTCGGCGGAGTACCAATGCGCAAATCAAACCGTAAAAATTAAGATAACGAGGTGGCCTGTTTTTCTTTTTGTCTTTGTGCTACATCGAGTAAAAGGCTTCTTATACCTCTAGTACCTATGTAATTCATTTCGTGAGGTTCATGTCGACAAAAACAACAATACGAAAACATGGAAAAGTATAAAATCCAATTATTATATCCAATTATAAACAGTATTGGGTTGAAGTGGAACAAAACGAAGTAAAAAATCTGTCATATTATTGCTTCCTTAATTGTGTAATAAGGTGCTCGTAATTACTTATGTGCGCTCGCGATATTGTCTTTCTTCTAATAAGAGTATCAATAAAGATAGCTAAATGCAAATTAGGAAATTAAAATCAACTTCTTCATTAAGAAACGACCTATATAAGTATCTTTCGAATTCAAATTCAACTTCTATTTTTTTAGTCATAAAATTATATACTTTTCCGCTTCTCTTTCGTTTTATAATTTTTTTGTAATATTATAGCAAATTCATGTAATTTTATGTCTACACGACTAATCTTATCAAGATTGTATGCATGTGGGCTTTGCTACCGTCATTCCACTAGTCTATGGTCATTTCTACTTCAACTAACGCTTTTATGCAACGCTTCTCCCCATTTTTAGTTATTGTTTACAGTTTAATGGTTCTGTATCGGCAGTGCGGATAGAACTGCTTACGCTGCCATAACTTCTTGGTATAATTTGAAAAAAAGGAGCATGTTTTTACGCTATTTACCCTTTGATGATGAGAAGATATGCACATATTATGGTTATAAAAAAAAAGATTATAATGTTATTTATTTTTTCATTGTTCTCATGCTTGACTGCCTCATTTGCATGTATAGGAATAAAGTCGACTTCTAAGAAAAGTAGTGGCAAAGATAAAATCGCTTTAGGTTTGGTATAAGTTATGTAAAATGTGTTCTTCATAGTTCTCGAAGTATGGATTTGTCGGAACTGTTGTAACATAGTGTTTGTGTATAAATATAGAGCACACACTCGACGGGCCAAGATTTAAAATAAATGAAGTTTCATTGTATGACGACGAAAGAAATTATATTTGACTTGGCCAGGATGTTGAAACGTTTGCAATTTCTTCTAAATTTATCGCAAAAATAGGTTTTACGGGATATGACCTGTAGCCCACATCTGCTCTACATTGTTTTGGCAATGGAGAGCTACTTAAGTGACTCTTGAGTCTGGTGTAGGGATTTACATCAGCAAATGGTTGAAACGTCCAGAGGAATAGGCAAATTATAATGGCTTTATTTATTGAGAATGGATCAAAAATGGAAGGGTGTGAAGTTATATTTAAATATTGAAGTAACAACGACACGAAGTAAAAATTTGAACAGAGGACCCTTATGCCGTTGACAGAGGACTGTTAAGGGAAATCTCGAAAGGGTTTAAATTAAAATATAGTTGAAATAGAAGTTTTTTAGAATTTTCACGAAAATTATCACAAATAGAGTATGTCCTTAGGTTAATTTTTCTTGATACTTTGAATATTTTTTTTTATGCACTAATGGAGGGGCAATGTTTGCAAGGTCATGGTGGCCAAATCGAGTACTGCGAAAAAATGAAACTAATATCCCGTAAATTCTTCACTTTCACTTGTGTGTGATTCCAAGGCTACAAAAGACGAAATGCATAAGAATTGATGTAAGCTTAAAGGGCTGGGAATTCAAACATTTTCCATTCACTCATTAATTGGGCCATGTACTTATAATCTATTGACAATTGCCGCTGCTACGATATTCAACATATCAACCCTTCTACCCTTATTTTAGGATCAATATTTAAAATAGCTAAGTAGAACTATGTGAAAGCTCTCACACCCGAATTCCATCTACCCGTCTTTTCGTTTCATTCACCATTGAATCAGCTAATAAGAAAGGTTTATTTATAAGTATTTGCAATAGTTTGATCAGTCACTGCGTAACTAAACCATTTTAGGGACTCTACAAATTTCCTGCGATATAAATAATTTTAAATTAAGCGCTCAAAATGAAACGATGCGTGCACCAATTGAACTGCAGCAATTGAAGCATCTATAATTGTCACATCAGTCATAATTCTTTACATATGTACCTGCGCATATCGTATATATTTAAATACTTACACTAACCATAAAGTGCCTACTTTGAGGAAGGGAAAGAAATTTGATGATTCAATATTGAGTTCACGGATTTCTAATTTCGTTACAATCGCTCTTTCAGCATTAAAGAAGCACCACATTGCGTTTATAAAATACATTTAAAGTACATCTGATCTAAATATCTGTTATATCACATTTTTCATTTTTTAAAATTTTTTTCATATTCAATTTTTTTGTAGGTTTTGTAAACATTAGCTGCAAGCATTTCAATATAATCAGAAAGCAGTTCTAAAAAATAAATACTTTACGCTCGGCTTGTGTTGTAGTGTTTAATCAAATTTAAAAGAAATGAAATTTAATCTGACACCGCGTTCTGCTTCTTTTCTGCGCATTCAGTACCTTTGGTTTAAGGCAATTGCAAAGCAACTAAAAATATCGTCAACACTATAAAAACTCTGTTGGGGAAAAGCAAGAATGTTTTTTGAAAATGTGCATTTTTGAAAATCATTTAATAACACTGACAGAGGCACCGAGATGCATGCCCCATCGCAATTATTGGTCAATTCTCACACGTATGTTATATATCTGACATTATATTGCATGCATTGGCGTCTAGCCACAGGTAATAGGAAATAAACGACGTCGATATTCTTTTTACTACTCTCTCAGTAGCTGGTACATTGGCTCGATAAGCATCGTATATCGTATATGGGGTCTTGTAGGGTCTTTCGACAAGAGGTGTCATTTGAAATTTTGCTCCCTTCTCCAGTTGTCAATGCAGAACTTTTGGTTGCTACGAGACAAGAACATGAGTAAGATTACGATTTATTAGCTGATCGACCAGACTCATTTTCCTCTGAGTGGGAACATGGATAAAGTGAAAGTGGTACTTCTGATAGTCCGAAAACTGGAGAGAAATAGTCGAACCACTTCTACAACCACCAATAGCGACAGTTTGATGCTCTTTCCAGAGTGCGCTTAAATTGAACCATATTTTGGCAAATGCCGCCGGTTCGACGAAAATTATATTCGACCGCGACCGAAACTTTTATACCCAGACTAAAAAAGCGGAAAAACTAAATTTCCGTACTCTATAATTACTCCATAGACGTGGCTGATTTTTTCTATTTTTATAGAATAGAAATTGAAATTTATATCGTGCGTCTGTTGTATATATTGGGCCAGAAAGCCGGAATGTGTTTGATGCCATTGGGGCTGTTTTGAATATAAATCTGCGTGCAAGGAATTCCAATGTTTTTGTAAAAATTTAAAGCAAACATATCCATTTTTGCGATCATGAGTTACCACAGCTTTTAACAGAACGACGGATAGACAGATTGACAAACATTTCAGGTTCAGATTTGATACTAACCAAGAATATGTAAATTTCATATGGTTTCTGAAGCTTCATTCTGGATGCAGTCCCCTTTTTGATAAAAGAATGATATTTCAATTCAACAGGTGTGGCCTAGCTTTTCTGTTTATGTGCCTGCGTGCAAGAGCTTCCAACCTTTTTGCCAAATTTGATGGCGATTTTTGCCCTGTTGTGACGAGAGGAATGACATACACAGACAGACGGATATGCTCACATTGTTTTAGAATTTGATGCTAATCAAGAATATTTACACTTTACGGGGGTCTAAGGGCTTCCTTCTGGCTGTTGCAGACATTTTGACAGAACGGTGATGGGTATAAAGAACTGCTACCCGCGTGTATTTTGATCTTTTCGCTTTATATATTGTATCTTGTCCACTTTGCATCACACTCGTCACAATTTAGCATTTAGTTCTTTGTAATAGAAATAGAAATTAATGTTTTCCGCATTTTCCACATTTTTGCACAAGATGTGTGTTTGCCGCAATACCGAGGCTTAAAATCTAAAGAGAAGACTACTTTCGGGTAGGAAACGCTTTAAATTCATTTAAGAAAGTTTTGGATTTACCATTCGGATTAATTAAAGAAAAGCTGAAGAGTTCGCCATTGGAAGGAAAATTTTCATATTGTAAGGCTTGAAGATAGAACAAAAGGAACGCTACTGGCAACGGGTATAGCGGACTTTTTAAACGTTAAGTGAAGAAAGTGAAAATTAAAAATCAAATTTATGATACGAAGGTGAAATAATATTTAAATGCGATTAGTAAAGACGCGAACCAACCATTTGAATAGGGGGCTGTTAAGCCATTAACAGAGTTCTGCTTGCAAGTACTTCAAATAGAACCTTTCCAGAATTTATTAAAAAAATTATAAACAATGTCTGTATGTTAATTAGTTGAAATTTGGCATGAAAAAATTCTTATACTATATCAAATATGGGCTTGAAAAGGGGCAAGCTTACTTACTTGTGACCGAACGAAGTGCCGCGAAAAAAATGAAACTAATAAGTCCATGAATCCTTGATCAATAACCCTTCCAACGGTGCACGTATTCAGTTTTCTGCGGAAAATGGCTTAACTAACTTATCTATGTTCAAATTTTTAATTTGTATCTATGCTAGTTATATTTATATATTAGTTTAGGGAAGAAGAAATCCATTATTTTTATATGAACTTCAGGACTTTATTTAACATGCTTCGGATTGTCCGATTTGGGTCAAATATGCACCGTTTTGTTGTATGATTTGTTGCCATTTTAAAGGTAACTTCAAAATGCCTCTCT